ATAACTCATGGTAATATCTAGAGACTGAAAATAAATGCTGGTTATCAGGTGGACTATATGAGGTTTGGTTATTGTGGTGATGGTGGGGACATTCAGTGGGGACAGCTGCCTGTTCTATTAAAGCTCCTTAGCAAAATTTTATGATGTACTTTAGTCCATTTTTTTACCCCAATATCTGAAAATTGGAGACTGAATGTTTCTTTTTAAATTTCAAATCATCTTGAAGTTTTGTGGCAGCTTGATGATGAAGCCACAAATATATAATAAATGCTGAATCAGTTCCAAACAGTTACACTATAAAAGGAATCCTAAGCTTCATGATTCTGTTTGGTTCCCAGATGGCTGGTTTTCCTTAGGCTGTTTTCTTGCAGATTTTATTGTAACAGAAAGAAAACTCAGAGTAGTGGTGCCATTTCACTAAACTGGTGATTTGAATCATATGATTACAAGGTTGCTACAAACCCATACCTTTTTGGAGAAAATATTTTAACCTAATCCCACAAATTTAATAAATTATGAGGGCATCACCATGGATCTTGATTTCTGTTTTGTTTCAGAGTTGAAGGGTCACCTTCAACAGTCATGTGATGTGAGAAGGAAACTAATTTTCTTGGTGAAGAATACAATCTTTGGAGTTATACAGCCCACACTCAAGTTCTAGATCCACCATGCTATCCTGTGGCTTGGACAGCACATAGTCATCAGAGCATTACTTTCCTTATTAGTAAAGCAGTGACAATTATGGTATCTACAATGTGAGTTTAAAAAATTGAAGTAATTATTATATTTAAAGTGCTTAGAGCAGTGTCTGACCCAAAGTATGTGTAAAAATGCTCAGTGTGTGTTAGTTTTATAAAGATGTGCCACTTTTTCAAAATTCTGTTATAAGTGGATTATTACACAGGTTGCATTTTCTTCATTATATCTTTACTAAAGGCCAGATGCACGAAATTCATGCAAGAATAGGTCTTCCTCCCCCCACACCCCCCCCCCCCCCGGGTGCCAGCACCGTCTTCCCTCTGGGACCTGGCACCTGGGCTTCCCTCAGGCGGCATTCCAGGAACCCAGGCTTCCCCTCCAGCTGCCGGCAGGC